TGGAAGGATAACAGATCGATGCCCTGATGCAAAACGACACGAGTTGTCAGAAGGAAGTAGAGCAATTTTTTAACTAACTTTTTGCACCTACAACAGTTGAAAAAATAGTCACAACAACAAATGCTTTTGATCTGTTCAAATTCAGATAATAAGTTTCTTTTCTGACATAAACAATTGTTGTAAATCTATTGTTTAACAGGTAATTCCTCTTGATGTCTCTGGTACAGAATTCGTGCTATTCAGATATATGCCATTCTGAAGCTTTAAAAAAAAAAAGTTGTTGTAGCTGAATTATTGCAAATGTTTGCATGTCAAATAACTTTATTTCTTATTGTTATATTTGCATAAATATTATCTTCTAAAAAGCGCTATTACTTTAAATAAAAAAGTATCGTTTTGGCAACTATTTGCAGGCGCTTCTTCTCCAGTAAACTTCTAATTTTGCACTTTTAAAAAATCATAGCTTAATAAATGTTGCAAAAATAAGATTGTTTATAAGAAAGGTGGACTTCAGGTTGTTGTTCAACTGACGTTTGCTATGTGCTGATATTGGTTATTCAATTTACTTTATAAAAATTTAAAAGAGAAGAAACACTGAACTTCTTTACTAATTATAAAGGGCTATTGAAGTGTTTATATGCTTGAAAAACTGTGGTTTGGTTTCTTTTTCTTCTTATTCAGTAATCACTTTATTGCATAATTTTTCGATTTTACAGTAATATTAGAAAAGTGCTTATAAGCATCCTTGTGATACAGAACAATTATGCTAACATCGTTAGCAGTCAACAAAAATTAAGGAGTGGACGGTGTGAAGATGGTAGACTGTTTAGTACCTAATCTGCAAAGTAAAGTTATTTGTAACTAATTATAAAGATAATTGAAAAGATCACTTTTTTTTGAACTATACGACATTTTAAAGCTTCCGTTTGTTTTTATAATTTTTTAGATTAGGTAAATCAAAATCATTCTCTCTTTCTCAATCTTTTCTCATTTGAACTCTTCTGTAGTCGCTCATTATGAAAAAAAAAAAAAAAGAAATAACACACAAGAAATTGCTAATGATTTGTGACAGAGTGTTATTTTCTTATTTTTTTTTTTCAATAGAATTTTAACTGCTTTCTTCAGAGGTATCTTTTTCCTTTTAAAAGCAAACTCAGTAATTTAGACGTCAAATTCCAACATCTTTCTTTTCTGCAATTTTTAGACTCAAGAAGACGTAAATAAGCAAAAACCTTTGCAGATACTATTTGCTGTGGAGCGAATGCATTATGTAGCCCTTCACAATTACCGCCTGCTTCGATTAAATCACCTTCATCTACTTCAACATCGTCTTCAGATTTGGTATTCTTGTTGCTTAAATG